GCTCCTCCTTCGCAGCTCTCATCACAGAGCGAGCGTCCTTGGCATCGGCAACGGCCTTCTCTAAGTTCGTCTGTCTCGCCCGGTCTTCTTTCTCAAGAAGTTTGCAACGGTCTGTAGTGCTCTTTAACTTCTCAGCCATCTCGGCCATCTCTTCTTTGCTTCAGCAGTGAGCAGCCTGTTCGGCTCTCAGCTCTTCAAGGGCCTTCTCGGCAGCCGCATCGCTTTTTCTGGCTTGCTCCTTAGCTCGGGCAAGTTCTGCCCTAAGATTCTCCACGGCGGCCGTACCATCTGCGTCAAGCACACACATTGTAAGACACTGGCATGAAGCTTCTCTTACCTGATGCCGCCCGAAGAATTATATACCTTGAGCCTCATCAAGCCGCTTGTTGACAAGCGCGATGTCGGCATCTGCCACATCCAGTTGCCGCTTTACTTCGGCCACATCATCAGTTCGGCTTGATTCCGGACACCTCGCCACCTACATTCAAAGGTGACATCTTAGACCTGGGATTATGATCCTCTGCGTGCTGTCATTTCTTGACAACGCGCAGAGTCTCAGGGGCTACTATCTACACAGGGCGCATCTTACTTATGGGAAACTGACAAAAGTGTACATTATCTAACGTACCTCAAAACCCATCAGTAAACTTTTGACGGCCTCATGCAATCCGCTTTCTGCGGATGAAATCCTTTCAATCACCGTGCCCATCAATGCACGGTGCTCCTCTGAGATAGAAGCTCGCCCCAGCAGAATCTTTAGCTCCTCGGGCCGAGCACCAGACGGTGCCGGACTTGTCCTATGGCCTCCTTCGAAGGCCGGATGCGGAGAGCCTTGGGGGGCCACATAGCTATCTTCTGCCCCTGCCGGATTCAGAGAAACCCTCCGCAACGACACCTCAGGTTCGCCCGCCTCGCTAGGCGGTACGGAAGGGGGAGGCGTCCCGCTCTCCATCATCTCCGAAGAAGATCCCCCGAGGACGAGCTCTGCTGAGAAGGGCTGAGGTCCGAGCTACAAGGTAAAATTTCGGTTAATCTTCTCAGATATAAATCAAGGATTTCTCTCATCCCTCAAAAGGAAAACTTCTCTCTACTTACGGCTTGGTGGAGGGCTGATCCCCTTGAGGGCGTAGTCCGGCCGAGGAACTCCCCGGCGTCGGACCCTCTGACGAGGATTTTCTCCCCTGTTTCGAGGCCGTGGTTTCCGGGTCGTTAGAGGCGGCTCTCTTCTTCCCCTTAGGAGAGGAATTGTCGGTTCCTCCCTTCGGAGTAGGCTCCTTCGAGGAGGCCATAGCTTCCTTGTCCTTCCCCTCCAAAGGCATTATCTCCAGCATCCTGACCAACACGGGATCCGGCCTGGTTTCAGGAAGGGGAGCCAGACACCTGATCAGCTTTGCCTTTGCTATCCACTCCTGTTTAAAAGGACGGCTCTTTTAGGGGCAAGTTTATGACAATTATACAGATAGAAGGTCCGGGCACGAGGTTGCTTACTTGAGTATCCGGGCGATTGCAGCTTAGGCCTGCGTCCTCGGTTAAATCCGGACATATCTCTTGTGATCCGAAGAACAGTTTATACATCTCCGTGGGTGTTGCGCCCATGAAATTCTGGAGAGCTCGCGGTCCCTCTGGGTTAAACTCCCATAGGCGAAGGGAGCGACGTTTGCCGGGCAATATTCGGCGAATCAGCATGACCTGCGTCACCTTGACCAGGCTGAGGTCTCCTTCCAGGAGATCCTTAATGCGGCCCTGTAATAAGGGCACGTCTTTGGGCAAACCCCAATCTAACCCTCTGTTGACCCATGACGCTAGCCATGGTGGGGGACCCGAGCGAAAGGCAGGAGGCGCCACCCACTTGGCGCTCCGGGGAGCGGTGATATAAAACCACTCTCGTTGCCACAAGCCTAGCTCCTCTTGAAAAGAGCCCTCGGGCCATGGAGCATCAGCATTTTTGCTTATAACAACGCCTCCGCACTCTGCGTGCTGTCCCTTGATCATCTTCAGCTCCACTTTGAAAGTCTTGAGCCATAATCCGAAGTGAGGGGTAACACGGAGGAACGCTTCGCATACAACGATAAACGAGAAGATATGGAGGATGGACTCCGGAGCTAAGTCGTGGAATTCCAGCCCGTAATAAAACAGCAGTCCCCTCACAAAGGGATCCATCGGGAAGCCTAACCCCCGAAGGAAGTGAGACACGAACACTACGCTCTCACCGGGCTGGGGACTTGGGATAGCCTGCCTTTGAGCAGGCAACCTGTGCGGGATTTCGGAAGTCAAGAACTTAGCCTCTCTCAACTTTAGCACGTCCTCCTCTGTGATGGAGGAGGGCAGCCATCGGCCTTGAAGGTCGGAACCGGACATTGTCGAAGGTCCGGGGCGCCCGGAATCTGGAGCCTAAGGTGTTGGAACTCGAGGTGACAGGCGAACTTGTTTTGGGATTGGAGAAAAGGAGTAAGGCCCTGGTCTCTTTATAAGAGGTTGAATACCAGGAGCCCTCCCCGTAACCGTTTGGGACTCGCCTTTAATCGAGAAAACATGCTAGCGGGCATGATAGGGTTACCCACGTCTGTATTGATGAGAATCCCGTAAAAGGGGGGCACGCGATCTCTGCTTTGACAAGACGTGCCAAGGAAACCGCCTCGCAAAACACGCTGAGGTGGAAAAGTGAAAACGGTCCGAGTGAAGGACTTGGCTGCAGATTTGATTTGTGTTAATATTATTCTCTCTATGGCGATACGTGGAAACTTATTTTGCAGAACCGGACACTACTCTTGGTGTTTACAATCTTCTATGAAGGACTTGGAGGAGGAACCCGCCTTGCAATGCCGAAGACAATTTGCGCGCCGGACTCGTCGTCATTGAAGCCTGGTTCAGGGGCTACTGAGGGAGTCCTGGATTAGGGGGTGTTCGTGTAGCCGGACTATACCTTCAGCCGGACTCCTGGACTATGAAGATACAAGATTGAAGACTTCGTCCCGTGTCCGGATGGGACTTTCCTTGGCGTGGAAGGCAAGCTTGGCGATGCGGATATTCAGGATCTCCTACCATTGTAACCGACTTTATGTAACCCTAACCCTATCCGGTGTCTATATAAACCGGAGGGTTGTAGTCCGTAGGCAATCAACTCCATACACAACAATCATACCATAGGCTAGCTTCTAGGGTTTAGCCTCCTTGATCTCGTGGTAGATCTACTCTTGTACTACCCATATCATCAATATTAATCAAGCAGGAGTAGGGTACTACCTCCATCGAGATGGCCCGAGCCTGGGTAAAAAACATCGTGTCCCTTGTCTCCTATTACCATCCGGCCTTGACGCACAGTTCGGGACCCCCTACCCGAGATCCGCCGGTTTTGACACCGACAGCCCCCCTCTATAAGAGGCATTCCAAACCCGAGCCGGAACATGTCGTTCTCCGTCTTGATGATGAGGCCTGGCGGGGGAGTGCCAGCGCGCGCCATGACCTGGTCGTAAATGCCCGCGGTAAGCGCCACCGGCCGGAACCCGGCCATGCCGAACCTAAACCTAAACCTAAACAGAGAGTGAGAGAGAGAGAGAGAAGAGGAAGGGAAGAGGGAGGGGTGGCGCACCTCGGTGTTGGGGACGTCCTAGGTCGGGGGAGGGGCCGGGCTCGAGGGTCGACGCTCGGGGTCTGGTGCGGCGTCAGAGGGGCCGAAGCTCGGGACGGCGGTGGTCGATGACGGGACTCGGGCGGCGAGGCAGAGGCGACGGCGTCGGAGAGGCAAGGCAGAGGCCTCGGGCGGCGACACGCGGGGGCGGAGCTTGGGGCGG